AGAATGATGCTAGCCTGAGGCTTAGCATATATAGCTTTTACAATGTTGAGGTAAGTTCCTGTTATCCCTAGTTTTTCTAGTGTTTTGAACATAAAGGGATGCTGTACTTTGTCAAATGCTTTTTCTGCATCTACCAAGATGATCATATGGTTCTTATCTTTAAGTCTATTGATGTGGTGAATAACATTTATTGATTTCCATATAGTGAACCATCCTTGCATCCCAGGGATGAATCCTACTTGATCATGGTGCACATTTTTTTTGATATGCTTTTGTATTCGATTCACCAGGATTTTATTGAGAATTTTTGCATCTAAGTTCATTAGTCTGTAGTTTTATTTCTTTGAAGTGTCGTTGTCTGGTTTCGGGATCACAGTGATGTTGGCCTCATAGAATGAATTTGGAAGAGCTCCTTCTTTTTCTATTTCTTGAAATACCTTGAAAATATTGGTATTAATTCTTCTTTGAAGGTTTTGTAAAACTCCACTGTATACCCATCTGGTCCAGGGCTTTTCTTGGTTGGTAGTCTTTTGATGGCTTCTTCTATTTCTTCCTTTGTTATTGGTCTGTTTAAATTGTGTGTGTCCTCCTGACTCAATCTGGGCAGATCATATGACTTAAGAAATTTATGGATATCTTCACTATCTTCTATTTTATTGGAATATAGGGTTACAAAATACTTTCTAATTATCTTCTGTATTTCTGTGGTGTCTGTTGTGATATTGCCTTTTTCATCCCGGTCGCCGAGTCGAGTCGCACGGGCAGCGGCTAGCGGGTCCGGACCTCTGCGCTGCGCTGCATGGCGGAGATTCACTCGTCTGGGGCAAACTGTCACCTCCAAAAATCCTACCAATTGCCGGCCCGGTCTCTCTTCAGTGGAATTTTGCCAGAAGCCTCTCAGCAGGTAGAATCCAAGCATATGGATGCGTCTCTCTGACCCCATTACTGAGGAGGTAATGAAAGCCCACCGCCCACTGCCATGTTGGATCCCAATGATCCCAATTTGTGCCTTGTGGGGAATGAGACATTGCTTGGTGGGTGGGCCCAGCACCTGGCTTTAGTTCTACTATTGGGGGTATATTTCGGGCCAAACAAAGAGGATTTTCTTCAGCCAATACCCCAGGCACCTTGAAAGGAAGTTCAGGCCCTTGTTGTGGCCTTTGAGACTATAAAGGCAGCACTCTTCTCCTTGGGGGACCATGACAGGATTTTTGTTTCTGGCTGTGAGAATTTAAAGTTACCTGGGCCTGCAGTTTTCCTAATAGATCCTGATCCATTAAAGCCACAGGGCAGTTGGGGAGATATAGAAATTTGTGAATAAATTCAGGCTGCTTAAATTACATCATTGAGGCAGTAAGAAGGGGTGATTATCTCAGCTATCTGTGGCTCCCACAATAGTGACTTGCCTCTGTAAGAGGAGCCCACAGGTTGAGTCAACATGGAATATTCTGCCCTGGTATTGATTATGAAGTCCATGGGTCAGCCCCCCATGATCATTTGGACCTTAGGCTCCTGGGGGCCTAACAAAATGTAGCCCAGTGTGTCCTAATCACAGTTTCATATGGTGAGCAATCCAACAAAATCATCCTCGGGAGCTTCATGTGGTCACCATATTGATTGGTACTAACCTTGAACCAATCATTCTCTCCCCTTTTGTCTGGAGATTGGGTAATATTCCTCTGTTGGCCATCCTCATTCTTCCAGTGACCTTCTTGAAGGCAATGAGCATAATGATTCCTTCCTAATCTCACCTCTAGATGAGGTGATCTTTCATGTCGGTTCTTCCTCTGATCTCAGCTCTGGCCTGCAGGACACCTCTCCAGGAGTACCTCAGCTGTTACACTAGAGCATTGGTAAGTAGATCTACCTTCCACTTCATTGTCTGGTCCAACTCATATTGGACTTCTTGGTCTAGTTGACAAATACTTTCAGTGCAACCTCCAGTTGCTGGCTGGCATTAATTCCTGTGGAGCCCTCTAACTTCTGTAGGTTACACTAGATGTCTTCCTGGGTCTAGACAACAAAGACTGCATTAACCATTCACTGATTCTTAGCTACCTAAGTTGAAGCAGGTGTAAAGACAAAACACTCCACATAGCTTCTCATATAATTGACTTGGGCCCTCTTCAGGTCCCTAGAGAACATCTGAGGTCTTTCTCATGTTCATGGCCTTCCTCCATCCTTCTTTCATGCTGCCGTAAAAAATCTCTTGATAATGCTCATGAGTCTGAAATTCCCAGTCATCATTAATGTCCCATTGGGGATCTTCCTTGGGGATTTGGCTCTGAGTATAAGCCTGCTTATTCGTGGTTCCTGCAGGGGCATGTTCCTTCAAGCACTTTAATGTGGCCTGGGTAATTCAGCAGCGTTCTGCAGTGTTAAAGTCAGGAATAGCTGGCAGCAATCAGTCCAAGTGTGCATGTGGGTCTAAATAAGAGATCACATTGAATCCATCATACCCTGAGGTTTCTCAATTAAATAGGGGGTATGGTTTTTCTAATTAAAAAGCTCAGTAGTTGTAAAAGTCTGATATATGAAGGTGCACTGTCCCCCTTTCACCTGACCATCTTGATTATAGTAGATGGGCCCCTGGGTTTCTTAGCCAGTATAAACCCTGACTTAGACTAGGGTCATAGACTTTGCAGAAAGACTGGCACTGCCCTAAGATATATGAGGATCACCATGGACCTGCAGATCAGGACTCCATATTCATTCAATGCTCAGTCCATCTCATTCATTCACCATTCACTCACATTCAAAAAGCACCTCCAATCTGCCACCCTATTCTTTAGAGCTACAGTTCTGTCTTATACAATATAGACTACTTGGACAACTATTTTCTTCAGGCTCCCCTTCTGCCATTTAGGGACAGGTCCACCTCTTGACTTGGGTTCCTACCTGTCTAATGGGTGATGCTGCTTTGCTTAATCCTGGACCCCACCAGGTTCCTTTGTAACCCTGGCATGCTGGGAGGGCTAGTCACTTACAGATCAATTGGTCCATTGGCAATAGGCAAACTCACTTCTTCCAGCATCCCAGGGCTTGCTCCCCAGTGACAAAGAGGTGAAATCACTATCTCTGAATCCCCAACATGAGCCCACAAGAAATGTTGCAGGACTCTTGCATGCAGAGACAGGACACCAGGGCTTTCAGAAGGAAGCAGCATTTGTTTTAGCCTGCACTACAGCAGATTCATACCCAGAGGCTGAACCCCAAATACAGCATGTCTTTGCCTTATATAACCTCTGTTAGTACCCCTGATACATGTTTGCCCCTTTGTTTCCCCTTTATGATAACATACATTCTGGTTGGGTATTCTATACTATAGAATGGCAGCAGAGTTGTGACAGAGTCATGACAGAGTTATAGCAGAGTTGCACATGAGCAGTGAGGATGCCACTTTACTTTCTTTTTGTACTGGCAGCATGTGCATACAAAATTACTGAGTACACCACATCACCTTCTTTTTGTTCCAGGAGCACCCTTACCTAAAATCAAGGTGAAATTATATGAGTGTATATACCACTGTTATCATTACTCTGTAAACTTCATTTCCTTGAAACTATGAAGTTAATATCAAAAAGAATATACAACAGCTAGATTATAGTTCAAAAAGACAGGAGTTTTTTTTGTAACATTAACAGCAACTAGGAACGGACTCTACATTGTTGTTTTCCTGCATTACGAAATCTCAATTCTAAATAGCTGCCTATGTATGAGCATGCTACATATTTCTCAGAAGGAATGACTTAAGTGGATATGTAGGGCTATGACAAATAGAATTGTGACTTTCATCGTTTTTAAGGCTAATATAAGTGATTATGTATACAAAAGGCATATTTAGGTCCAGTTGCCCTCTATGGAACATGCCAGAAGTGAATCTCACATAGTACAAAGTAGCAAAAAAATAAAGCAACAAAATTTGTGACTGACTGAAAAATTATAGTTTTACAGTGAAAATAAAGAAAAGAGCAGAAAATAAAAGTAGAGCAGAATTAATGGACATTCTCATCAGTCACGTTCTGGAAAACGCTTCACAATGAACTGCTAAAAGAATCCATGATCTGAATTTGTAGATGTTTAGCTTGCAAACACTTTTTTCAATAAATTTACTGTATTATAATCTAGGAATATTTTTGATATTTCTAATCCTAGAAGAATTCAAATAGCCATTAAAAAGGTACCAATAAATCAAGCTGTGTCACTATCCTGAATTACCCAGTTTTTACCAATCTTATAGGAAAACAATATCAATGAAAGAAACAGTGGTTATGATTCATCGAGCTCTTTCCCGTTTGAACTGTCTCTTCTTGGGCAAGTGCTGAGGGATATGACATTATATAAAGCATTTTAAGTAAAATCATTCACTTTTCTTTACAAAGGATAGATTATGAAAAAACACTATGTTAGAATCAAAGTAAGGCTCTGATTATCCTAGGCAGTTGCTCTAGTTCAGATATTAGGTATGCATCAAAATCTCACCTATGAGAAAATGCAAGCAAGTTTAGATGTTAAATGATTGGCTTAAGAGAGACTTAACTTAGTGCATTAGTCCACTGATAGGGATTAAATGGATAGTAATTGTAGGAAAGTAGAGTGTGACTGGAGGAAGTTGGTGGCTGGGGACATGCCCTTAGGCTTTACATTTTGCCCTTAGTGAGGGGAGAGTGCTCTCTCTTCTCTCTTCTCTCTTCTCTCTTCTCTCTCTCTCTCCTTCCTGATGGTCAAGTCCTGAGCTGCTTTCCTCTGCTGTGCCCTAATGTTCTGCCTCATGTCTGGCACAGAAAAATGGAGTTGGCTGTCTGGACTAAAACACTGAAACTGTGAGCCCTACATAAACTTTTCCACTGCTACATTGTTCTTGTTGGGCAATAACAGTGCAATAGCAGTGATCACAGCAGTGCAAAAGCTAAAATAGCAGGTGCTCTTTGGTCAAATACAACGTATGTGACTTGGTTTTCTTGTGTAGGAAAGAATTTAAGATCCCAATGTAAATGGGCCTTATATGTTATTATCATAAGTGTATTGATGACATGTGCTCTACACAGGCTAGTTTTAAAAGGTGCTTCCACTTCTGATGCAGTGACTAAAAAATCATGTACAATTTTATGATTAAAATTACACATAATTTCCTTAGATTTGCTAATGTACAGCCAGCTTTGGACAGCAAGCTTTCAAAGACCTATAGAGTAAATCTCCATAGAAAGAACAACATTCTTATAGCAAGAGAAAACACAAAGCTCTAATCTCTCCAGTTTCCCATCAAATGTTCAATAAAGGTTTGAAATACTTTACATATATTTTCCTTCCTACTGTTATGGGTGATATCATAATGCATGATAAACACATACACTCAACCCACACATGTATTTTTTTTCCTTCCCATCACCTTGATCCTTAGGTTGTCTTTCACTTTCTCTTTCCTTAATAAGTGTATTCTCCTGATTTTCTCTTGGTGGCACAGTTTGCTGAGGTGCTTCCTCACCAGACTCCTGGGCCTGTTGGAGTATGTGAGTAAAAATTAAAAGTTTGGCTGATATTACAAGTACTAACTTAAATATGCATAATAAATTTATATATATATATATATATATATATATATATATATATATAATATCTTTTTCAACCTGATTCTACGTACTTATTTTCAACAAAGCTACTCTTCCTAGGATGAGGTCACTCCCACAGGAGTTAACTGCAATGATTTTGTGTACAGATTTTAATCTATGTTGGATTGGATATGTTCAATATACTGTTAATGGGTATCAGAAGGAAATCATCAGGCATATTTCCTGGGAACATAAGAGCATTCATCCAGGCCAGCACAGAAGAGAATTCTCCTTGATGAGAACTCTATAAGCAGGGAAATTATTAACATTGTATCTATAATATCAACAACATTTCTCAAAAATCTTTTTCTATTAACAGAAAATATAAAGTATGAAAATACTCACAACTACAGACTCAACAGGCTGAGAAGACTCTTGTTCATCCTGTCTTCCTCCAGCTTTAGTTCTTGGTCTTTCTTGTCTTCTCATGTTCCACTCTAAAACCAAAATAATGTGATTTGAAGTATGAATTTAAAGGACAACATAGTTGACCATTCCCTGTAGTCTAGATAATGTGTAATTTCTTAAAATGTAGAAAAATCTTTCAAAATAAATCCTAGGGTACTACTAATACACAATGTATGCCCCGTGTTCAATGAGTCTGTATTTTATCCATGCTAACAGAAATTCTCTTAAGGCACATGGCAAACAGAAATATGTTTTGGTTGAGATTTGGTTGGACAAGTTCATGTATCATCATGGAGACATGTAGGAAAATTCTCGTAGACAAATAAAATTCAAAGGGCTATTGAATATAAACACTTCCAGCAACTAAGCCCATTCTAAAATAACATTTTTCTGGAAATACACAGTCTTCTTAATCCCCTCCCAAACCCTTTACAACTATTTTGGTACCAGCCATAGCACAGATGATATGGTGAGATATAGATGGCTTAGTCTGCCACCCATTGTCACTCTGTGCATCTTGGGGACACAGAGGCAACCCCATGCTGTCCCCACATTTTCAGGCTCTTTCTCGCTATCTTGCCCCATCTATTATGACAGCCACCCTCAATAGGGCCCACATTACTCCCTCGTCCCAGCCCCTCTAAGATCAGAAACACTCATTGTGGTGCGCCACCTGTGAGATGGATGACGACCTCCAGATCCTCCCTATGGAGCCCCCAGTCTAACATGCTGGAAGCACATTGGCACCTCTTCACACTACTGGACAGTAGTCCTTCTGAGAGAGCCGATCTAAGAACCTACCTCCTGACACTCAGCAAGAAAGAATGGAGCCTGTGAAAACTAGGAAGTAAATACGACTGACCGCACAATCCGCCTGGGCACCTCTCTGGGCACGGGAAGCAAAACGCATGCGCAGCAACTGACACACAGCAGGGAGCATGCGCAGTGTTGCTTGTCTGGAGAGGGGGATGGGCTTTTCCCGCCTCCATGGAGACATTCTGTCTTGCGCACTGACGTCTTTTAGGAACCCTTCCCCCACCTTCTTTTTCCCCTCTGCTGGGATTTACTTTTTCTATCACAAAGTTTGAGAGTAGACAGACCAAGGTTGTCTTTAAGGAAAGATGTGTTTCAGAAAGACCCAGTGTGAAAGCAATACTTTTTAAGAAAGTTAATACATATTTCCCCCCTCTATTACAATTGAACATGGGTGCTCTCCACTACTGAGTCACATCCCAGCCCTCTTTAATTTTCTTTTGAGTTGGAGTCTGTAGAAGTCGTGAAACTGGTCTCAAAGTTTTAATTCTCCTGTCTCAGTTGGGATTTGTGCACTCTACAAACTTATTTATGTATGTGTTTTGAACAGATAATTTCATGCTTGCTGCTGCTGCTTTTTTCCCTTTTCTTTCCTTCTTTCTGTCATGATTTCACTGTCTATATCCACTCCTATAGAATCAATGCATTCAAACATATTTAATTTTGATGGTCCCATTGTATACCTTTAAATTTCCTGAAGAAACTTTTGAAACATTTCCTTGACCATTTCAGGGCTCAGCTATATCCTTAGATATTGGTCCTGGGATCTAGGCCAAGGTTATTGTCACATGATGTACAGTAATAATGGCTATGCTTATCATACACAGATGATCATCATTCCCAAATATTAGCCCAATCACTGGTGCATAAGATAAAGCTGGCATTTTTGCTTAACACTGTAATGAAGTGTAGTACTTTAATAGGGAAACTAGCATCTAAGATAAGAAAAGGCCTAAGTGATACTTATTCTGATGTAGAAGTGTAGCGTAGAAAGAGATCATTGAAGGTGGGTGATGGGGGTTATAATTGGGAAGGAATTGTGGTGTAAAGTTTTAGGATATATAGACAGAGAAATGCTATTTTTTCATTTTTAGTTTTAATTTGCCCATAATAATTAACTATATTGTATATTGGTATAGTTTGTGATATGTGTGTGTATGTATATGAATGTATGTGTGTGTTTGTGTGTGTGTGTGTGTATAGATGTTGAGAGCCACAGCCCAAGGGGCCCCAGCAAACTTCCAGCTACAAGCAAACTTCCAGCTACAAGCAAACTTTCAGACTGCCAGCTGATGATTGGCTCACAGTGGCCCCAGCAACATCTAGCTGATTGGCTCCTCTGTGGTGATGCTCATTGGGCTGTTTCCCCGCCCTTTCAGACTGCCAGCTGATGATTGGCTCACAGCGGCCCCAGCAACATCTAGCTGATTGGCTCCTCTGTGGTGATGCTCATTGTGGGACTTCTTTGGCTCCACCCACGCTACCCAGCCAATCGGCCTCAAGAGCAGGAGGATTGTGGGAGGTGGTGAAGCTTGTGTTTGTGTGAGAGGCTTGTGGGAAGCCGGTGGTGGCAGTTGGGCTCTGAGGGTTTTTCCTGAGGAGCTGTTTTGTTTGGCGTGTGTGGTTCTAAAAATAAAGTTCGTTTCTTTTGACAAGTGGCTCCTGAATTGTGCCCAGCCAGACTGCGGCAGAAATCAAGGTGCCACCATGGCTGATTCCTCCCAGGGCCTCCAAAGAAATTCCTTACCTCATTTCCAGCTTCCAGCATCACCCATGTCCTCTGCTCTGTGGCCATTCCTGTCTTCACAGTGAATGACTTCAGTCTATTGTGCTGTCATCATTCAGCCTTCTCTCTAATCTCACCTCTGTATCCTCTTTTTTAAAATATTTTTTTAGTTGTAGATGGACACAATATCAATTTTACTTTTTATTTTTTTAAATATTTCTTTCTTTTAGTTGTACACAGTACCTTTGGGGTTTTTATTTATTTATTTTTTATGTGGTGTTGAGGATCAAACCCAGGGCCTCACACATGCTAGGCAAGCGCTCTACCACTGAGCCACAACCCCAGCCCCATCTTAATTTTATTTATTTATTTTTACATGGTGCTGAAGAGCAAACCCAGTGCCTCACGTATGCAAGGCAAATGCTCTAACACTGAGCTACAACCCCAACCTCTTCTGTACCCTCTTAATAAGGACATTTGTATTATGTTAAGCCCAGGATAATCTGGGATAACTTTCCTCCTAAAAATCCTTAATTCCATGTGCAAAGTCCCTTTTGCCATGTAGAGTCACAAATTCACAGGTTTAGGGGATTAAAGGGAGGCATATCAGGGACACTATTATTCAGTTGACAATAGTTGTCAAACAAAAAAAAAGATTTTTATGATTTTGCACTGTTGGAAGCCGTATATGAATTTTGGGTTTGTTTGAGCCAACACAAGGCAAGAAAGCTGCTTTTCTGGGAACTCCTGAGTGAAATTCCTCAGTTCAAGAAAGCCCCGATCATGCTGATGCCCTGCCTTAGCTCACAGCCTTAGGAAAAAACACAGCCTATGCCCAGATACGGGGGGAACCTGCTAAGCACCAAACAACCTGTTTACTGCAAGATTCCTGCCACACCAAAACAAGACCCCTCCCATACTGAAACCTTATCCCTGCCTTTGATGTTCTTCCCCTTAAATAAAGATTTGGGACTTTTTTAGTTGTTCTTTTCCAGTTCCCATCAGGGCTGGAAGACCCATCAGATTCTTAAATCCAATCTCTAGCTTTATCTTTATTTCTTACTGGTTATTTCAGACTTTTTATCTTCCCAGGCAGCTCACCCCTCCTAGCAGGAACCTGCTCTGACAGGGTCCTGGCTACTCCCTTATACTGTACATGTGAGTAGTAATGAATATGTACCTTGGTTGATTTCCACAAACTCTGACTGCTGTTGGAGACATTTCTGAGTCTCCATTGCAGTCAGATGAGTATTGCTCTCTCTAGCTTCTCTTCACCTGGCATCAGAGTACTTAGCTTGGTTGCCTGGGCCCCGTGTTTCTACAGAAGGAGCTTTGGGATCATTGTGTTAATGTTCAGTGTACTATGGTAAGGGAGGTGGTTTGGGGCCTCTCCTTCCTTCTTTCTCCATAGCTTGGCTCTCCATCTCATGTCCACACCTCACCCTCATAGGAAAGGAGAGTATTGGGGGAAGCTTTGCTTTCCACTCCCCACTCCCATGCTGCTCAGCTGACCTCTGTTTCCTCCCTCCTCCTTGATTCCTTCCACTTTTCCGGCCTGAGAATCTTCTTTTGCTCCCCTTATTCCTCAAAAGTCACTGACTCCAGCACTCCACTGAAACTTGCAGATAAGGAGAGAGAAGTGAGGTGAAATCTATGTGTCCCCACCATCCACAAGTATGGCACATGCAGGACTGAGAGCACCTTCTCAGTGGTTCCTGAACCACTGGCCTCTGGGTCTCTGAGCCACCATGTCACTACCTGTGTAGCAACTCCAAAGGCCATCCTATGTCTCCATGAAGATGAGGAGCCTCTGCTAAGAGCCATAGCCAAGTAGTATGATGCGTGGCATTTTTTGTTGAAAGGTGATGCCAGCAAGCCATTGAGATGATATGATTATGTTAAGATCTGCATTCTTATGGATATTAGACCCCTGCTGTCCACCTCGGCCTGCTAAGGGACTCCTGGAGAGTTCCCATTGGTTGGGGAAGTGCAGTAGGAGGGAATTCCGGAGGAGGTACTTCCTGTTGGGGTCTGGGAGAACGCTGCGTGTGTCAGTCGGCAGTTTTTTCCCAGGAGCGTATGGGGCATTGGCGGCAGTTTCAAAAATAAAGTTTGTTCCTGCTTGAGTGGCTCGTGATTTTGTGCCCAGCCAGACTGCGGCAAGCCTCCTAACTTGTTCTGGCAACTGGGTATCCTCCAAAATGAGAGACTCCAAGAACCAGGGCCCACAGGAAAGCTGCTTGCTTTGATTTAGATATTATGGAAATAGGTCATGCGTCACACATAGAACTGATTTTTTGAGTGTAGGTGTGTGTGTGTGTATGTGTGTGTGTGCATACATTAGCATATTGAGCATATGTATGTATGTGTATATGTGGATATGTGCATGGGTGTACATGTCTTATGTGTGTAACTGTGCATAGATGGGATTTTAGGTATATATGCACAAATCTCTGCAGGTATATACATGTATGTGTGCCTATGTGTGCCCATGTACATTGTTTATGTGTGTGTACATGCCCTGGAAAGTGCTTACCTCCTCATGGCAGCTTTGTGCCAATCCATGACCCTGGGCCTCCTTGCACCCAGCACCAGCTATCCCGTGTCCATTGTTGTGTCTGATTGGCTCACCAGATCCCATCTCATGTCTAGGACTCGTTCAACCACTCAACCTCTTTCAGGAGCTCAGTGCTGGGGAACTCCACATATCTTGTCTCAGGTGCTCATATACCCTCTTTGACATGCTTAGAGCTGGGTGATCCCACACATGATTTGGAGGAATTTTGTGACTAATTAGATCAGCCTGCCACTTGCTCTGATGAGGTTAAATAAATGAACAAGTGCTTTGAGGTAAATTCATATTTCAATGGCATTGCTTTTAGAATCATTAGCTTTGTCAACTCTCTATCCTGACCTTAAGGAACAGGCAATTATGTTGAAAATATTAATTAAATTGAAAACCACTGAGGCCAAGTTACTGGCCATTTTGAGGATGTGCCCACCCCAGAGCCTGACAGGGCTGTCTATCTCATGCTTTTTTGGAAGCAGGATTTGTTCAGTACATGATGAAAACAAGTCAGTATGTTTAGCTTCCCAGGAACATATTTTGCTGCAAATTCGTTTTGGCTGACAACACAAGAGAATGCAGCCTGTGTTGGCCAAGATGGGTGTCTGTTAAACCTACTCTGGAATCACCAAGTGAGGAAGCCTTCCATGGTGGATGGTTCTCTTCAGGCTGCTGGAAACTCTGTGAGGGTACTGCCTCTATGAGCACCTTGTGTCCTAGCTGCTGTGGTGGGGTCTCCACAGGGTGGCTGGAGGACCTGTGGTCACTCCTCTAGTGTCTTGTATGACAGGACATTTGGTTTC